AAAAAATCAATAAATCCAGGAGCTGTTTTTTTGAACAGGTCAACAAAATAGACCACTAGCCAGATTAATAAAAAGGAAAAGGGAGAAGAATCAAATAGATGCAATAAAAAACAAAAAAAGGGGATATCACCACTGACTCCGCAGAAATACAAACCACAATCAGAGATTACTACAAACAACTCTATGCACATAAACCAGTAAACCTGGAAGAAATGGATAAATTCCTGGACACTTGCACCCTCCTAAGCCTAAACCAGGAAGAAGTTGAAACCTTGAATAGACCAATGACAAGGGCTGAAGCTGAGGCAGCAATTAATAGCCTACCAACCAAAAAAAGTCCAGGTCCACATGGATTCACAGCTGAAATCTACCAGACATACAAAGAGGAACTGGTACCATTCCTTCTGAAACAATGCCAAACAATCCAAAAAGAGGGAATCCTTCCAAAATCATTTTATGAGACCAACATCATCCTGATACCAACACCCAGCAGAGACTCAACAAAAAAAGAAAACTTCAGGCCAATATCCATGATGAACATCCATTTAAAAATCTTCAATAAAACACTGGCAAACTGATTGCAACAGCACATCAAAAAGCTTATCCATCACGATCAAGCAGGCTTCATTCCTGAGATGCAAGGCTGGTTCAACATACGCAAGTCTATAAATGTAATCCACCACGTAAAGAAAACCAAAGACAAAAACCCACATGATTATCTCAACAGATGCACAGAAGGCCTTTGACAAAATTCAACAGCACTTTATGCTAAAAACTCTCAATAAACTAGGTATCGAAGGAACATATCTCAAAATAATAAAAGCTATTTACATCACACCTACAACCAATATCATACTGAATGGGCAAAAACTGGAAGCATTCCCTTTGAAATCCAGCACTAGACAAGGATGCCCTCTCTCACCACTCCTATTCAATACAGTATTGGAAGTTCTAGCCGGAGCAATTAGAAAAGAAAAAGAAATAAAGGATATTCAATTAGGAAAAGAGGAAGTCAAATGGTCTCTATTTGCAGACAACATGATTGTATATTTGGAAGACCCTATCATCTCAGTCCAAAATCTCCTTAAACTGATAAGCAACTTCAACAAAGTCTCAGGATACAAAATCAATGTGCAGAAATCGCAAGCATTTCTATACACCAATAACAGACTGAGAGCCAAATCATGAGCTAACTCCCATTCACAATTGCTACAAAGAGAATAAAATACCTAGGAATACAACTAACAAAGGATGTAAAGGACCTCTTCAAGAACTACAAACCACTGCTCAAGGAAGTAAAAGAGGACACAGACAAATGGAGAAACATTCCATGCTCATGGTTAGGAAGAATCAATATCGTGAAAATGGCCATACTGCCCAAAGTAATTTATACATTCAGCACTATTCCCATCAAGCTACCAATGACCTTCTTCACAGAACTGGAAAAAACCACCTTAAACTTCATATGGAACCAAAAGAGAGCCTGCATAGCCAAGACAATCCTAAGCAAAAAGAACAAAGCCAGAGGCATCACACTACCTGATTTCAAATTATACTACAAAGGTACAGTAATCAAAACAGCATGGTACTGGTACCAAAACAGAGATATAGACCAATGGAACAGAACGGAGGCCTTGGAGGCAACACCACACATCTACAACCATCTGATTTTTGACAAACCTGACAAAAACAAGCAATGTGGAAAGGATTCCCTGTTTAATAAATAGTGTTGGGAAAACTGGCTAGCAGTGCGCAGAAAGCAGAAACTGGACCCCTTTCTGACACTTTATGCTAAAATTAACTCCTGATGGATTAAAGGCTTAAACATACAACCTAACACCATAAAAACCCTAGAAGAAAATCTAGGCAAAACCATTCAGGACATAGGCATAGGCAAAGACTTCATGACTAAAACACCAAAAGTATTGGCAACAAAAGCTGAAATAGACAAATGGGACCTAATTAAACTCCAGAGCTTCTGTACAGCGAAAGAAACAATCATTAGAGTGAACCAGCAACCAACAGAATGGGAAAAAATTTTTGCAATCTACCCATCTGACAAAGGGCTAATATCCAGAATCTACAAAGAACTAAAACAAATTTACAAGAAAAAAACAAACAAACCCATCCAAAAGTGGGAGAAGGATATGAACCGACACTTTTCAAAAGAAGACATATATGAGGCCAACAAACATATGAAAAAATGCTCATCATCACTGATTATTAGATAAATGCAAATCAAAACTACATTGAGACACCACCTCACACCAGTTAGAATAGCAATCATTAAAAACTCTGGAGACAACAGATGCTGGAGAGGATGTGGAGAAATAAGAACACTTTTCACTGTCAGTTGGAGTGTAAACTAGTTCAACCATGGTGGAAGACAGTGTGGCGCTTCCTCAAGGACCTAGAAATAGAAATTCCCTTTGACCCAGCAATCCCATTACTGGGTATATACCAAAAGGATTATAAATCATTCTATTATAAAGACACATGCACACGTATGTTCATAGTAGCACTGTTTACAATAGCAAAGACCTGGAACCAACCCAAATGCCCATCAACGATAGACTGGACAAGGAAAATGTGGCACATATACACCATGGAATACTATGCAGCCATAAAAAATGATGAGTTTGTGTCCTTTGCAGGGACATAGATGAATCTGGAAACCATCATTCTCAGCAAACTGACACAAGAACAGAAAATCAAACACCGCATGTTCTCACTCATAGGTGGGTATTGAACAATGAGAACACATGGACACAGGGAGGGGAGCATCACAGACTGGGGTCTGTTGGTGGGGGCCAAGGGAGGGACAGGTCGGGGGTGGGGAGGTCAGGGAAGGATAACATGGGAAGAAATGCCAGATGTAGCTGATGGGGGGTTGGAGGCAGCAAACACATTGCCATGTGTGTGTACCTATGCAACAATCCTCCATGATTTGCACATGTACCCCAGAACCGAAAGTACAATTAAAAAAAAAAAACATTAACATGGAGCTGAAAAGCTCCTATAGCCCAGTGGCAACATAGCCATCATAATGTTGTAGAGCAATTACCTTTTGAAAAATAAATTAGTGTAGCCTAAGGGTACAGTGTTTATAAAGCCTACAACAGTGTACAGAATGTCCTAGACCTTCACATTCACTCACTACTCACTCAACTCACCCAAGCAACTTCTAGACCTGCAAACTCCATTCATGTTAAGTGCCCTATACAGGTGTATTTTTTTTTTTTTTTACCTTTTAGACTGTATTTTTACTGTACCTTTTCTATGTTTAGACACACAAATACTCACCATTGTGTCACAATTGCCTATATTGTTTTTGTTTTGTTTTGTTTATTGTTTTTATTTTGTTTTTGTTTTTGAGATGGAGTCTTGCTTTCTCCCCTAGGAATGCAGTGGCACCATCTCTGTTCACTGCAACTTCCGCCTCCCAGGTTCCCATGATTCTCCTGCCTCAGCCTCCAAAGTAGCTGGGACTACAGGGGGCGCCATCAAGCCCAGCTAATTTTTGTGTTTTAAGTAAAAACGAGGTTTCACCATGTTGGCCAGGCTGGTCTTGAAGGCCAGCCTCGGCATCCTAAAGTACGGGGATTACAGGCGTGAGCCACTGTGCCGGGCCAATTGCCTTCAGCGTTCTGTTACAGTACCATGCTGTACAGGTTTGTAAACTAGGAGCAATAGGTTATACCATATAACCTAGGTGTGTAGTGGGTTACACTGTGTAAGTTTGTACAAGTACACTCTATGATATTTGTGCAACGATTACGTCGCCTAACAATACATTTCTCTGAACATACTCCCATCATTAAAAGATGCATGACTATATATATTTGTATGCCTTTTTAACTTCCTGGAAGAATATACAAAAATATTAATAGTGCCTGTAACAGTGAATGGTATGGAAGGAAGGAAGGAAGGAAGGAATGGGGGGAGGAAGGGAGGGAGGGAGGGAGGAAGGAAGGAAGGAGAGGATTCTTTTTTTATTTCATACAGTTCTGTAGTGTTTGAATTATTTTCATTGAATATATTATTTTCATTATTTTTAAAAGCGTCTTCTTCCCACCTTATTGTCTTGTCTATTTCAGCCTAGCCAACTAGATTTTCTCAGGACTGAGTTTATTTCTCAGGACTGAGTATTTTAACTCTTGTCTCAAGCTCATTTGCATCTATCTCCCAAGATTATTCTTCCCAAACCACTTCAGGTTTGAGTATGACGTTTCCTAGGTCTTTAACTTATGATTAACCAAATGAAACTATCAATAGATGGACCCCCTAATCCAGGTGTTGAACTGCAAAAATGACATTTTGGGGAGTGAGGAGATGCTAACTCAATTGTGTCAGTTGAAACATCAACAAACATTAGCAATGCCACATTGTCATGAAGCGGAAGGTCAAAGATCCATACATCCTTCACTGGGCGGCATGATGGGACTTAACTGGGGCAGTTCCGGTTCTGCCATTAGGACCACGAGCACTCCAATCTCAATGAAAGTGTATAAGACACTGCCATTAACCCCGGATCATTGCCACGATAGACCCAAACAACTCCAGTCTATCGTGTCAATGTGTATTTGGGGAGTCTTTAACACATGGATCGTTGGCGAGCTGCGCCATAAGAGCCCTGTAGGAGCTGCGGCCGTGTATGGAATCAATGCACACCCGGGGACTCCCCGATGCCCGGATCATTTGCAGTGTATCGTGTCAATGCATACTCCGGGAGCCCTTACTCCAAAGCTTGAGTGCGGAGGAACAGTGTACACCAAAAATACTTATGAAATAGTTGTTACAGTGCATAGACAATATTCACTTTTCCAAATGGCATGTCAGCAAGTTTAATGTGCCACAAATAACTCCTAAAAGGCACAAAACACTCCTAGAGGCCCACCTTCACACATGAATGGTTGGCCCATGGAATTGTGGCATGGCTGTGGGGGAGTGTGAGTCTTTTAAATGAACAAAGGGAAAAGAAACAGACATCTGCTACTTACTGTCGTCAGGGTTTTCAGCAGAATCCCAAACACCTCCTAATTATTTTCCTGGGCGTTTGATGTTTAAGATACAAGGACCTTCCCTCCATCCCTGCCCTGTTCCAAAGCACCTGCAGAGCAAGGTGAGAGGGCAAGGTTAGAACATGGGTTGGATTGGGTCTTAAGAGCAGTCCCATAGAAATATAATGTGAGTCAATCCAAGCACTTTGGAGGCCAAGGCGGGCGGATCACCTGAGGTCGGGAGTTCAAGACCAGCCTGGACAACATGGTGAAACCCGGTCTTTAAAAAAAATAAATAAATAAAATTTAAATAAAAAAAAAAGAAAGAAATATAATGTGAGCCACGTGACTAAATTTAAATGTTCTTTGTAGCCACATTTTTTTAAAAAAGAACCAGATTTAATTCATGATACTTTATTTCACCCTATATACCGAAAATATTATCATTTCAATATGCGATAAGGGTTGTTTTTAAATGATGAATAAGCAAGTTCACATTCTTTTTTTCATAGTCTTCTTTACAATGGAGTGTGTATTTCCCACTTGGAAAACATCTTGGTCTGGCCTGGCCACGCTGCAAGCGCTCAGCAGCCTCTTGTGGTCATGGCTGCCCCAGTGAGGAGCACGGTTGCAGAGGCCCAGGAAAACCAACCGGAGGAGCATGGGTGTTCACTGCCTTCCTTCACCCACTCCAGGCAGTTTCAACCACCTTTCCGCCTCATTTCCTCACCCGGGCAGCCTTTTTCTCAGCAGCCTGACAGAATAGCTGTGTGCTGGGTTTCTGAAATCATAAAAATGACCACAGATATGCATTCGGAAAGAGGGCTGAAAACTCCTCTAGGCCCAAACGGTAATGCCAGTACTAGGTCATCGTTCCTAGAGATGTGGATGAAGGGAGAGCTAGGGGCCCCTCCCGAAGGAAAGAGGGGGCGGCCTTGCTGCAGCCGCAAACTTCACCAAACCTGCCGCCAGCGCACCGCCCGGGGTGAAGGGTACCGGCGTGCGGGGACGCAGAAGGGTGGCTGGTTTCTGGAGCTAAGTCTGGCGGGACACAAAAGACTAGGGAAAGGAGAGGGAGACGGAGACAAAGGCGCGGGGGAGGACAGGGAGGCGCGCGGTCGCGGGCGAAGCGGGGATGCGGGGCGGGCGCGCGCAGCCCGGGACTCCCGGGACCCGCGGGCGGGAGCAGGCGGAGCGGGCAGGGCGATTTGAATATCAGGCTCTGCCACACTCGGGACGCTGCTGACAACTTCATTACCTCCGCATATAAAAATGACTGCCGGGGAATGCAAATAGCTCGCCCGTCTCAGCCGCCTGCCCCCGTTCCGCTGCCGGCTGCAGGCGGAGGCCAGGAGAGCCGCGGCAGCCCGAGGCGCAGACGCGCCCTGTCCAACGTAATGAACTGCTGCGCCGCGGCTCCGCCCACGCCCCCGCGCCCGCGCCGCCGAGCCCGGCCGGGAGGGGGAGCCGGCCCGGTGCGGGAGGGGGCAGGGGGCAAGGGGCAGGGGCGCGCGGCCGGGCGCGGTTCCGAGGTCGGCGTTGCTAGTCAGTGTCGGCGCGAGCCCTGCCTCTAGACTCTGTCATCCAGTTAATGCTGTGAAAATGCCAGGGAAGTAGAGTGCTCGGTGGGCTCCACTCGTGACCGCGAACCCTGACGGAAAATAGGGACCCCCGGCCTCCGTCCCGCGCGGCCTGGTGATTAAATTGGACGCCAGCCTCCCGGCGCCGCGCTGTCGCCTCTCGGGCAAGCCGGCGAGGGGCGTGCGGCGCCATACTCTCCAGGCCTGCGGCCACACGGAGGAGGCTGAGTCGCTGTGCAGGACCCGCCTCCCGAACCCCCGGCCTTGCTGAGCTCCCCTTGTGGCCACCGAGGCCAGCCGCGTGCGAAGGGGAACGCAGGCTTGGCGGCGCCTTCTCCTTGCCCTAGCTCCCTCTTTGGCAGGAAGTCACCTCCTGCCTTCTCATAGCTCCCCCTGTCACATTTGGGCCCCTTGTGAACTTCTCGAGGGGAGGAGCTAGGTCACTTTTATTAATAATATCAATAACGACAATAGTAAACATCTGAGGACTATTCTATGCAAGGCACTGTGCCAACTGCTTACCTACATTATGTTTATCACAGCGACCTTATTGCTGTCCTGGAAACCCAGGCTTAGCAGAGCCTTTCAAGGGGCCCTGGATAACCCAGCTAGGATGAGAGGGCGCACAGATGAGAACCCAGGCCCCTCTGCACTCTCAATCACTCTGCAGTATTTTCCGAGTCCTTCTGACAGCTCACATAACTGTCCCACACCCGTTTCTTCCCCTGCCGCCCCCACCCATCTTATGCCAGCCCCAGACCCCATTCCCTCCCTCTCCTTGGCCCAGAAGTAAATCCGAAGTAGTCTAAATCTGTTATGACTAACCCTTCCCTTGCCCAGGCATTGGCTTAGAAAAAGAGCATGTGACCAGTCCTGGCCAAGGCCAAGTGAGGGGACATGTGCTGGGGTTTTCTAGGAAATGCTTCCTTGCTCTAAAAAAAGACACCCATAGAAGCGATTCCAGTTTCTTCTGCTTTATAATGTGTATCCACCACCTGGTAACCATGGAGGAGCCAGGGAACAAAATCTTTGCAGAGATTTACAAGGTTAAGTGAGCTAACTCAAGGGTTAAAGTTTAGGAGAATCATGTTTTAGTCTTATCTCTATCTGCGATGAAGTCATGCTGCCTCGTGTTTATTCAGGGACATATTTAAAGTTAACTCCTTTTTGAAACAAAACAAGACGTAAAGATGTAAACAAGGAAAACTCCAGAAATTTGCTCTTGTCCCCATTAAAGAGTGTCTGGTTCTAGGTACTTCAATGGAACCTCTCACTTCCAGCTTCTCTTCCTGGGCACTCACCTCTAACTCATTCAGCCTCGAGGCTCTAAGCCGCTTTTTTCCCCCAGCTCCCTTTTCCCTCAAAACAAATCTTTGCCTACACAGGCAAGGCATCTCTTCCCTCCAGGAACATCAGAACCCCCTTCTAACCATCCTGCACCCACACACCCAGGCGTCTGAGCTTGACTGCCTTTGAAATGTTTACTGGCCTTCAAATAGTCTATCTGAAGAATTTGCATCTTGTTCTTTGGGAAAATCAGGCATAACCAGTCACTTACTACTGGTTTCCTGGCAGCTGTTTTAAAACAGAATCTGAATTGTAATAAAAATGGATTTTTATGGTTTCGCTAAAATCTTACACACTTTTCATGAAAATACGCCATAAAAACTATAAAAAGTATATACATACTATATGTTTTATTAATTTATGTGGAATCAATACATGGTAACTAAAATGTCTCTGTTCCCCACTGCTATGGAAAGGCAGCCCACCCTGCCGTAGCAAGACATTTAAGACCCTTCACAGTCTGCACCTAACCCAGCTCCAGCCTTATTTGTCTACTACAGTACACCACCGAATCATGCCATTGCATTTCCTTTCCCATGACATTCTCTAGAATGCCCTTGAACTCCATATCCAACTGTTCAAATACCACCGATCCGTCCAAGTCCAGATTGGATACCATCTCTTCCAAGAAGCTTTTCCCATTCCTCACATATAATTACACAAATTGAGTTACTTAGTGTTTATTTTCAGCAATATTTAGCATGTTTTATTTACTGATACCCAGTATTGTTAAAATAATGCACATTTCCAAACAGTTGGATGGCTTAAATATTACCATGCAAACAATTAAAATGAGTAATAAGTATTATCAGCAGAATTGTATAAATCTTCCTCCCATCTTAAGGCTGAGCTGTTCTCTCAGATGTGATAAAATAAAGCTTCATACACCGCTTATTTTTGTTAGGATAACTTTCATTTCAGTAATAGAAAACCTGTCTGTAGTAGCTTCAAAAACGAAGAAAATGTAGTATCGGAAGTCCCAAGGTAGCAGATGCTAAGTTTGGTTAATTCAGTGGGTCAAAAATGTTTAGTGTTGTCAAGTTCTTCTCATCTTTCTGAAACGCTGCCATCCTCAGCTTGTTGACCTTGTCCTTAACTAGTTCTCCTCAAGGTCTCAAAATGGCTGGCATAGTTCTGGGCATCACTTAAGACATGGCAAAGGCTAGCCAAAAAAGTTGACTGTTCTCTTAAATGTTTTAAGAGTGGAGAAATTATACCAAAGATCCCTCAGAAATTATACCAAAGATCCCTCGGATATTTTCTCATTGGCCAGAACCAGGGCACACAACTATCTCTAAACTACCACTGTCAAGGGAGGCAAGGTTATCAGAATTGATACTAATCAAGATTTAGCCTTGGATTATATTGGGGGTGAGAGGAACAGGGCAGGAGAGCAGGGAATTGACAGGAGAGGCAATGCCAAAACAAAAACGGAACTTTAGTCAGTTTCCCAGTCATCAATTTCTGCATCTAAACTATCCCAAAGCTTACTGGCTTCGAAAATTTTTTGGTTTTTTTCTAGAATCTGGACTGGGCTCCCAAGGAATGAGGGAGAATGGCTATTGAGTAGGCACTAAAAGCATCAGCAACATTTTTTTTTTGAGACAGAGTCTCACTCTGTTGCCCAGGCCAGGCTAGAGTGCAGTGGCGATACCTCAGCTCACTGCAACCTCTGCTTCCCTGGTTCAAGGGATTGTGTGCCTTACCCACCCTGAGTAGCTGAGACTACAGATGCATGCCACCATGCCTGGCTAATTTTTGCATTTTTAGTAGAGATGGGGTTTCACCATGTTGGTGAGGCTGGTCTCAAACACCGGACCTCAGGTGATCCGCCCGCCGCAGCATCCCAAAGTGCTGGGATTACAGGTGTAAGTCACTGTACCAAGCCAGCATCAGCAACTTATGATGGCTTATTATTTGAAGATCAAAACCCAATCACACTTTGATTATTCTCTTATTGGTTCTTTCTACCAAAAAAAAAAAGTGTTTGAAAAAATGATATATTGATGTAGTCGATAGTAAACTGATTGGCTGAACTCAACTGATAATTTTCTTAGGGGGCAGTAAAATCATGTTTGCTCTTTTGATTTGCTTTCTCCCCACTAAATAACTAGCCATGTTATGGATCCCACATAGGGTTTTTCTTTTAACAATATGAATGCTTGATGGAATTAAGCCATTTTTCCGTTAAGTTCCTTAGTTTGTAGACATCTGAGAATTAAGTCAGGAGAATAGCAAATAATTCTTTTGATTTACCAAATAATTTGATAACTGGATTATTCACCATCAGAATATTACTCTTTGAAAACATGTAAATCACAGACGAGTTTGAAGATAAAGTTATTAAATAGCCATTTCCCCCCTTGAAGGCAGATAGGAAAATTGTAACATATAGTCTTTGTTTTGTAAATGTCACTTCCTTATTCTAAATAGGCCTTCTGGTTCTCTTTTAATTTTTATATATGTAAGGTAAGAAAGTTCTTAAGTAGTGGCTATAGTCAGACTCATGTCATTTACTAAAATGCCACATGGACTTCCTTTTGTCATCATGTCTTCCATCTTCTAGTAAATGTGTAAATGCCTCTAGAACAATACCTGGTCCGACGATGAATGTTCATACCATCATCCTCTTCCTTTCTTTTCAAGACGCTCATGAAACTGCTTACACAAAATCTGATGTATTCCAATACCATCTCTGTGAAACATAGACCTTTAAAGCCAGATTGACAGTCCTCTAATTTGATAGGCGAAGAAACTAAAGCCCTAGAATTTAGAGAACTTTCTCGAAGTTGCCAGACTAGTTAGTAAGTTAGTGGGATCTCATTATCTTATTTTTTGGTTGGTTGCCCTTTAGGCCATACATAGTATTAATGATTAACATGAAGCACAGACCTATCTCTAACCAGGTTATGAGTCAGATTCTTTAATATGGAGTTAATGGCACCCACTCAGACAGGTCCCTGCAGGAGCAGAATTCACACTATATTCTCCAGGACTGAGAGCACTTACTTTCTCTAACTTCCAGCCCAACATATCCAGAGATCCCATCAAGCCCCATTCCCAGGTACCTGAGGTCTCCTCAAATCCCTGTTTCATTACCTGTGCCAGCAGCCCAGGCAAACCCGGTGTTCAAGGAAGGTACTTGACAAGGTGCTTCCTCCCATCCCCATCAAGCTGGGGCAGGCAGGGGAAATGGAGGAGATGGCTGGTAATGCATCGCCTGCCATCTATGCACCTTCACAGTGAATTTACAGCTGAATCTTCAGATTCACATCTGACAGTTTAATCATAAAAGAAGGTTTTTGTGGCCAGGCGAGGTGGCTCACGTCTGTAATCCCAGCACTTTGGGAAGCCAAGGCAAGTGGATCAGAAGGTCCAGAAATGGAGACCGTCTGGCTGACATGGTGAAACCCTGTCTCTACTAAAAATACAAAAAGTTAGTTGGGCATGGTGGCATGTGCCTATAATCCCAGCTACTCGGGAGGCTGAGGCAAGAGAATACTTGAATTAGGGATGCAGAGGTTGCAGTGACCAAGACTCTGTCTCAAAAAAAAAAAAAAAGAAGGTTTTTGCTTCTGAAACGTTAGTTGAATTTTCCCCCGAGAAGAGTTGTTTGGATTTAGAAACCCTGAGGCCTGTGTTTTTTCAGTGTCGAATTAGTCCATTGGCAGCATGCATTCGAACCCACAACTCATGTGTTTAAATCATATGTTTCTAAAATGAGAAACTCTGATGTGCTCCAATTCACTAATACTTTTAAACTATTAAAAGACAACTATTAAGAAAATGAAGCCTAACCACGACTATTTGTACCCTTCTTTTTCTTCAACCAACAATTGCCATACTCTGCACTAATGAGGTAGACTGTGTTAAGAATTTTCTTCACAAGCTGGGCGCGGTGGCTCAAGCCTGTAATCCCAGCACTGTGGGAGGCCAAGGCGGGTGGATCACGAGGTCAAGAGATCGAGACCATCCTGGTCAACATGGTGAAACCCCGTCTCTACTAAAAATACAAAAAATTAGCTGGGCATGGTGGCGTGTGCCTGTAATCCCAGCGACTCAGGAGGCTGGGGCAGGAGAATTGCCTGAACCCGGGAGGTGGAGGTTACGGTGAGCCGAGATCGCGCCATTGCACTCCAGCCTGGGTAACAAGAG